GTCAGTACCTAAATGGGATCCCAAAAATAAGAGACAAAAAGATTCCTATTAAAAAAAAAAAAAACTAATTAATTTAGCAACTTAATTAACTTTCTCTTGAATAAGATACATGAACAAACCAATACATATAAACAATTAAAACAAATAACATAATTTTGGTGAATTCAACCCATAGCCCAACAAGACAACTATAATGTAGATGTGATCATTAAATGTATATTTTAATACATTAAAGACATATTTTAACACACCTATCTTATTCTATTTGGTAAACTTTAACAAAGGAGACAAAATATGAATAGAAGTATGTGCATTTCCAAGTAGATTACTCCTAATGGGTGTGCAGTCATTTTTTTCTCTTTCGAATTTTCCAACAACACAAACAATTTACCATACATTTAATTGCATCCAATGAGTTCCTTTATTCAGTCCCAAAGTATCTCCTACTCCTAATTCCCAATTCCTAAATGCCCAGCATGGTAGCACCATACTTCCCAAATTGGGAATCTCTTTCGTTTTACTCATTGTGAATCCCAATGAGACAATGAGTAAAAAGAAAAAAAAGGAACATCAATTTCCCCCAATCATGATGTCCCAATTTTTGCTTAAAAAAGAAATGCAACATTTTAATCAGGAATAGTGAAAAATCAAGGGTAAAGAGCCAAAAACAATACCAAATTACCAATCTTTCTTGTTATGGTTCTGAAAATGAGGATAGTGTCAGGACTCAATAGTCAGGACTCATGAACATGATTGAGAGAAGTTAAAAGATGGAATTTCAACCTGGGATTTTTTTAATTTCTTGTTCAAAGTCTGAGGTAGCGTTGTCATGTAAAAGGAAAGATGGGAATTGAGGAAAGAAAAAGTTGAATATGAAACAGACAAAATCTAACATTTTAATTTTTTACTTTTTTTTTTTAACTTTTTAAAAAAACTTTTCAAATTTTTTTTTTTTTTAAAAGTTGAGGGCAGGCCTGGGCCTACCCTCAAGGGGCCTAGGTCCACCCTTGACGAGATGGTAAATTAATCTAGAGGACTTATATCGAACGTATAAATGAACCGTGAAATGTTGAAAGCACTACCAACTCAAAAAACTCTTAGTTAGCTGTAGTTTAGCATTGTAGGAACTTTCAATCTCCTCCTGCAACCAAGGGCAGACCCAGGCCCCTTGAGGGTAGGCTCAGGCCTGCCTTAAACTTTAAAAAAAAAAATTGAAAAGTTTTTTTAAAAAGTTAAAAAAAAGTAAAAAGTTAGATTTTGTCTGTTTCATATTCAACTTTTTCATTCCCCAATTCCCATCTTCCCTTTTACCTGACGGCGCTACCTCAGACCTTGAACCAGAAATTAAAAAAATCCCAGGTTGAAATTCTGCCTCTCAACTTCTCTCACTCACGTCTCCTGAGTCTTGACTCTTGAGTCCTGACACTATCCTCATCCTCAGAACCCTAACAAGAAAGATTGGTCATTTGGTATTGTCTTTGGCTCTTTCCCCTTGATTTTTCACTATTCTTGATTAAAATGTTGCATTTCTTTTTTAAGCAAAAATTGGGACATTGTGATTGGGGGAAATTGATGTTGCATTTCTTTCTTTTTACTCATTGTCTCATTGAGATTCCCAATGAGTAAAAAGAAAGAGATTCCCAATTTGGAAAGGTATGGTGCTGCTGTGCTGGGTATTTAGGAATTGAAAATTAGGAGTAGGAGATACTTTGGGACTGAATAAAGAAACTCATTAGATGCAATTAAATGTATGGTAAATTGTTTGTGTTGTTGAAAAATTCAAAAAAGAAAAAAATGACTATAGATCCATTGGGAGAAACTACTTGAAAATGCACATACTTCTATTCATATTTTGTCTTCTTTATTAGTGTTTACCCAATAGAATAAGATAAGTGTGTTAAAATATGCATTTAATGATCACATCTACATTATAGTTATTATCTTGTTGGGCTATGAGTTGAATTCGCCAAAACTATGCTATTTGTTTTAATTGTTTACATGTATTGGTTTGTTCATGTATCTTATTCAAGAGAAGTTAATTAAGTTGCTAAATTAATTAGTTTTTTTTTTTTTTTAAATAGGAATCTCTTTGTCTCTTATTTTTGGGATCCCATTTCAGTACTGACTCATTATATGTTTATTGGATTTGGAATCCAAAGCATCAACAAACAAGAATCGTTCCAAATATATTTGTATAAATAAGATTATGATATCCAATTATTTCAGGAGACTGAAGAAAAGGCCAGCAAAAAATGTTGATGGAGACTCTACTGATACTGAGGTTAATCAAACCTCATTAGAAGAAGAAGCCCCATAACAGCGACAACAACACCAAGTAAAAGAAGTTTAACCTTCAATCGGGATGTTCAATTTAGATGAGTTTGAAACTGACCCAGGATTAAGGATACCAATTAACGAGCTTTTTTGTACTAACAAACAAAAAGAGGAAGTTCGAAGAGTATACTTGTTGAAAGGTCCTTGCCAACCTAAAAAACATAACTTTCCTTTCACTCATGTTGGAGATAAAAAGCGTAGGTTTACATCAGAATGGTACAAAGAAGGTTCAAGTTGGATGGAATATAGTGTGACAAAAGATGCAATCTTCTGTTTGAATTGTTATCTTTTCAAACCCGATTATGGTGACCAAGCAGGTGGTGAAGTTTTTGTGAATACGGGATTTAATAACTGGAAAGATAAAGTAAAAGTGAAAAATCATGTTGGTGATCATTTTAGTACTCATAACCAATGTCATGCCAAGTGTGCTGATTTGATGAACCAGAGGCAACACATCGATATAAATCTTGCTTGCGTGTCGAAAAAGGGCAAACTGGACTATTGCATTCGCTTGAATGCATCAATTGATTGCATTAGATTCCTTTTACATCAAGGATTAGCATTTCGTGGTCATGACAAGTTGGTTGAATATGAAAATCAAGGTAACTTTACAGAACTATTGAAGTTTCTATTAAATCACAATGACGACATGAAGAAAGTTATGGTGGAAAATGCTCCGAAAAACCATCAAATGACTGCCCCCAAAATCCAGAGGCAACTAAATAGTTTTTGTGCTCATTTAACGACCAAGAAAATTATTGCAGAAATTGTGAGATAAACGATCGTTTTTTTTACTAGTTGATGAATCTCGTGATGTGGCAGTGAAAGAACAAATGACTATTGTATTTTGCTATGTGGACAAAATAGGTCGGGTTATTGAATATTTTATTGGGATTGTGCATGTTAAGAATATTTCCGCAAAGTCTTTGAAAATTGCAATAGATGCCTTTTTTGTAAAATATAGATTGAGTTTGACAGAGCAAGGTTACGATGGAGCAAGCAATATGAGGGGTGAGTTCAATGGTTTGAAGACTTTGATATTGAGAGAAAATAAATCAGCTTTCTACATTCATTGTTTCTCTCATTAACTCCAACTGGTGCTAGTCAAAGTTGTAAGTAAACATTTGGCATTAGGTGAATTTTTTCAAACTCTTTCTATGTTATCAAACACTGTAGCAGCATCTTGCAAGCGTAGAGATCTTCTATGTGATAAACAGTATGAATATGTGATATCTTTAATTTCTAATGGTGATCTTCAGACAGGACGCGGTTTGAATCAAGAATGCATTATTAAACGACCAGGAGATACACGTTGGGGTTCACACATAGGGATAATTCATAGTGTCATAAACTTATTTTCTTTTGTTATTGATGTGCTCAGAGTGATTGAGATTGAAGGAGATGATTGGCAAAACAAAAGTCAAGAAGCAAGGAGTTTATTACGAATCATGGAGAATTTTGAACTCGTCTTTTTGTTATTCTTGATGAAGAAAGTATTGGGAATCACATATGAACTATCACAAGCATTACAAAGAAAAGATCAAGATCTTCTTAATGCCATGCAGTTTGTATAAATTTCGAAGCGTTGATTGCATAAATTGAGAAATGAAGACACTTGCTTCGACATATTGTTGAAAGAAGCTTATGATCTGTGTAAAGATGATGACATACCAATCCGAGAGAACATGGAAGATAATTTTTGGAGGTCAAAACGTGGGATTGTGCCAATTACGAATAAACATCATTTTAAGGTGGAATTGATGTACACAGTTTTAGATAACATTTAAGAAGAACTCAATAATCTTTTTGATGAAGTAAATATGAGGTTGCTTCAGTGTATGGCATATCTTGATCCAAATAACTCTTTTGCTGCATTTAACAAAGATAGATTACTTAAGTTTGCAAAATTCTATCCTACCGATTTTCCTCAACACGATATTTGGTTGCTCGATAATCAACTTGAAAACTATTATGCGAATGTTAGCACCAGAGCCAGTTTCACTCATGTTGATGGGATTGCCAATCTTGCAAAAAAATGGTTGAGTTTAAGAATGATGTTGCTTACGACAAAGTTTTCTTGCTTATTAAATTAGCATTGGTTTTTCCTAACAGTTGAAAGGATGTTCTCTGCAATGAATCTTATTAAGAATACTTTGCGTAATAGAATGGGAGACGAGTGGATGAACAATTTCTTAATAGTTTACATTGAAAATAAAGTTTTTGCTACAATTCAAAATGAAGATATCATTGAACATTTTCAGAACATAATGAAGCAGAAAATCGTGTTAAATTAAAGATCTTCAGGTATACTATTCTAACTTGCTTTCATCTTTAAATAATCAATATTCATATTATTTAGAACTTTAGGTATACCATCTAACTTTATTTTTGGGTCAATACGCATATGGCATATGGATCTTTAATCTAGACGGTTTAATTGGAATGTTAACGTCCGGATATGGATTTGGAGTGATTGTAATCCATCTCTTTGTAAACCTTTGTGTATTTTACTTTTATTAGAGTTGTGATTGAGCTCTAAATTTGTGTAGAATATTTTTGGTGGATTTGTGATGATTTTAAACTCTTTTGATTATATTAGATTTAAGTGGATTGTTAGATTCCTGTGATTTTTTTATCTATTTACATTGAAGAGGTTTTTCCGCGTAAAATTTTTCTTGTGTTTCTTTGTGAATTGGATGTTATTTTCTTGTGTTTTCACTAGTTGATTGACAAACAGTGGCGAAACCATGAGGGTCCCCCTGAGCAAAAATCCTAGGTCCGTCACTGCCTGCAACAACCATGAATTACAAAGTTAAATTCTGTATTTATCTTGAATTGTTGCTAGCTTATTTGTTTTCTTTATCTAAGGATATTTCGTTTAAACAAAAGAGTAATTGGGTTTATTAATTACCCATTTGTCATTACCAGAAAATTTACAGAAAAAAAATTGAACCGGGCTTCAAACAAAATTTACCTTGCAAGATTTTAGTAGAGGCTGCAAGAATGATGATTGACTTCTTAAGTGTGGTTTTCTCCCATTATGCCACTAAGCAAAACATTTAAGAATTCCATGTCGCGTACATGCAAACATGACAGTCCAGCAGCTTTTCCCTGAAAAAAGTTGGGTGGATCTGATAACAAAATTCAAAATCACAACTCACTCCTAAAATTATTTGACTGCCCAAAATGAATCACAATATGGCCGTATTTTCATAATTACGTTGATAGAAAGTTCAAAATTATCAAAAACAATATAATGTTCACTTTCAAATTAACATACCATTCTCAGCATCAGCTCCTAAAGATCCTGTGTTAAGTTCTTGTAGAAGCTGACAATTCAAAAAATCAGATAACAGTTCATCATTTGAAATTTAAAAAAAAAGAAAAGAAGCAAATTCCTTGAAGGCGAATATGCTAATCTAGGGTGCAGAAAGGTATTCCTGATTCTGACCATCCCATTTTTTCTTGTGCATCTAGTCTTTGTAAATATGATTAATATTTTTAATTAGGAATAAGAAATCACACAGATCAATAAGAAATCATCACTCATATAGATGCTTACCTCGGACAGCGTTGGTACTGCAGTAGGATCAAATTCATCACAACTTTGTGGATCAATAAGAGTACAGACACGACCTGGAACAATGAGAAACTAAATTATAAAAGCAATACAATGAAGATTAATATCTAAATTTCATAATGTAAACATAATAGAAAACTGATTTTTGGCAAGCTAACACTACTTCAATTAGCTAAAATTTTTGATGTCAGAAACAAAATTTAATTCTTCATATATTTTACCACCATAACTATGAATTTGGTAAAAAATTCTGAAAATACATAGCCACTGAAATCTGTGATAACATTTTAGGGCACTGACATGTTTTTGGAAGTACACAAAATGGAGCTTTCAATAAATGGTTCCTGTGTTTTGATACCTAACACATATACACAGATGAGTCCAACCTGAAGAGTAACATACATATTTTTGCAAGTGTATAACTGACAGTGAGTGTTGAAGCCAGGAGAGAAAAGAAAAGAAAGGACAGGTGATGAACAAACCTCCATATCAAGCCTGGGGTAGGTATAGGCAAACACAATCTCTTCTACACATTGGCGCAGCCCTTGTGCCTGACATAGTGAACAAAGTAAAAACAATTTCATATTCTGTTAGTGGAAGCACAATTTGCGAGATCAAAGCCTGTTATATGAAGTATATAATAATTTCCCAGACAGCCACATGATGATGCATGAACTCCTAATTTTCAAGATGTGAAAGTGAGACTAAAAGATTTTTATTTATGTTCATAAATTTCCCTTGGTCAATTCTGAGTTACCATATCTTGTACTTATGGTCACTCTAGGTACAAGTTAATTTTCCTCTATTACTCATCGAAAGCATGTTGAAGGAAGGTCCCAACAACCAGGAAAAAAAAAAAAAATTAGTATCGACATTTGTGTCACACGTGGCAGTTCAACCTTATGCTTCCCTGATTGCAGCATATGCTTTAGTTGCTCTCACCAAGAAGAAACCAAAATTGATGTCATTGGAGGATCGCCTATTCTCCAGCCACTTCCCTTGAAGCTCAGAAGTAACAGCTGCAAACATAAGTTATAAAGCACCAGTTATTAAAGGAAATGGCAGACCTTTCCATGTAAGAGAAAAGGGGGTGGGGGCAAAAAGAATATATTATCTGCAGTATACACTCATCAGGAATCATGCTTAGAATCTTCTCTTATCTTTCCTCACTTGAAAATATTTGTAGACTTGAAAGCAGTTTTTCCTCAAAGAATTCCCTTAGAACGTCAGTATGTGATCAGCAGAGCTAGGGTGTCTTAACAATGGATCAAAATAAGAAAACGATAATATGTATCGACACTTACACTAGGAAAGGATGAAGTGCAGGACCCGGCAGAGAAAACATCTTATTACTATTTTCATTGCCGTGAACATATTGCAAAATATACAACTTCAATTAAACTTAATGCTAACAAAGGTCTCCCACAATTCCAACTTTATCCCAGAACAGGATATAGCACCTTGTATACATGAAAATAGTCATCAGTAGCTCCTCTCTGTTCATTTGTCAACCTATAGAGTGATGGCAGTACAATTGAACTTTCTTTGCCTCATGACACATATATGTGAGTAAAAGAAAACATAATTCAACTCTTTATGGAATTACCTTCTTGCTTTTCCATCAAAAACCAAACAATGAACACTATGACGCCCATTGTACACCCAAAGAATATGACTGAAACCAAATCATCGGCAAAATAAAATTCAATGGGCAGTGTCAAACCCGGGAATACATCATATTACTTTCAACCATGTGTATGTGCTCATATATATAATACACGTGTTATTGTACATGAGCATTGTGAACCTAGCCCATAATAAACCATAAAAATGCAAAATAAAGAGATCAAATCTGCTTTAGTTCTTCGATATCACTGCATATGCAATTTAAATATAGCTAGGAAGCTCCAGCAACTGGACAATGTGGCAATAAATGGAGCATATGTACTGTATGATAGATGAACCAAAAAGACTTCCGTTATATGTAAATTTTGAACTCAAATTTATTACTTTTATCACAATACTACAGTCTGCATTATTCATCACATGCACCTAAAAGAAATTTGAGGGCTTATGTACGAAAAAAGATAAGAGGCTCAAATTTGAGGCTTATGTATGACAAAAATTTGAGCTCCACCTAAAACAAAATAATGATAGAACAGCAGGACCTACTGAGGATATCGAAAGATAAGAGGCTCAAATAGTAGATATTTCGTTGATAATGAGAGTAACTTCCTGGCATTGTGCCTCTTCTTAATATGAAAACCCTGTAAGTTTCCGAATAGATAGTAACCGTTATAGGGCTTATGTATTCATGCTCACTTAGTTTCATGATGCCTGCATGAACTAATAAACAGAAAATTATCAGAAGAAAACATCGTGCACTAATGGATGTACTCCTACCTCTGAGGGCAGTATCAATCACTTTAATAGAAGCAGTCATTAGAGGCCAGCACCGCAAGCATACAGCAGCACCTGAGCAGCAATATCTAACATCATCGTAGTCAGTTATATCCTGGGAGGAAGATGTAAGATAACATGTCAACTAATGAAGCATTTACAAGATAACAATAAGATAGTTGCCAAATAAGTCAAGTCTTACAATATCAAAACAAGTTCCCTCTCCACTGGAGAAAAAGCATTATTATCACCACCTTGTGAATACCCATGCCTCTTAGCAGGCTGCAGTAAATAGAGGTCAGGAAAAATAATATCAATAACAAAAGGCTAAACCGAGAATTGATTTTGTAATAACTAAATTCAAAAGAGATGATATAGAGGAATTTCAGGCTTTAATCCATTTTTCTGGTGTGCTGAGTAACACCATGGACAAACACCAATTCCAGGATTGCTCTTGAAACATCAAAGAGTTGATTCCTACATGCAGTATGGAATAAAGAGAAGATTGGAACTGCGAATGTCAAGATTGAAAATTGCAGTCTAAGCATGGAGAACCAAGTGAATCAACAAGAAAACTCGGGATATTAATTACTTAGTTCCTTAAGACAGATACATTGTCAGTACGAAAACAAAAGAAAATGTTACAGAAACACCTTAATTCAAAGTTATGAGAAACAACAAGATCTTACATCTACAGTGTATAAAGGCTGAATATCTACTTTAAATGGACATTTTTCTTTGATGGCATTTTCCAGCTCAGATGCACCACTGAAAGACTGCAAACGCAGATAAATATCATTATCCAGAGTGAAAGAAAATTCTTTTTGGCCGAAGTAGGAGTTGTTGCAACCAGGATGCTTCCCATCTAGCAATTAAGTGGAATGATCACAAATGAAATAACTACTAGTTTGTAAATGCCAGTAAGTGTATAAAGATGAAACTGAAAGAGAAAAACAGATTTAATAGGAGATTCGACTTACCATTTCCATAGGACATCTACATGAAGATATCAGCATGAGGAAAAAGCCTTCCTGCCACAATGTAAATTTCCTTTTATGTTAAAACAAAAATCGAGTGCTCTTCTCTTTCTTTCTTTTTCCATTTTTAGTTTTAAAATAAATCAACAAAAGTTCAGCAAATTGAAATGTATAGCCATCATAAAACTTCAAAATAACTGGAAATCATACATGAGGCCGCTTTAAAGGTTGCATCCGTTTGTAATTTCTACAGTACGTAATATTAACATAATTAAAAAAAAAAAAAAAACCACAAACCAAAAGAAAATAAGAATATATAATCAGTAAGCATGGTAATGTTCTCCGAAATTCTGGGGATCCGTCCCGCCCCGCCCCACTAGGGGCGGGGAAGCCCCGATTTTTTCAAGGATAGGGGTGGGTGTGGGGGTGTTTTAATCCCCGTCCTTGGGGATGCAGTGGGGATGGGTGATGCCTTTCCCCCGTCCCGCCCTGTATATATATATATATACTTTTCATTAATACCTTTATATTTCACCTAATTACACAATTATCTTACCTATATAAACCCATATTTTTACAATTTCTCTCACCTTAAACAATTGAACAAGAGCAATCTTTAACCTATATTTATGTAAAATTAGTTATGTTTAAATGATTAATTTAAATATTTATCATGTGGATAAGAGTTAACTATTGTGTTTGATAATATTCAAATTAATTTAAGTTTATATAAAATCAGAGGGAACCGAGTTTTTTTTCATCCCCATGACGGGGATGGGGGCGGTGAATGAGATCCCCGCCCTGCCCCATCCCATTGCCATGCCTGATAATCAGAACGCAGCTAATACGAACTGAATTACATAAAATTTACCGTAATAGACTTTGAGATGGCTAGAATTGAAGCCGTCAGGAGTAACAGGTTCTTGGTCAGGACGGTCAATTAACATTTCTTCTTCTCCATTCTTCATTTCCTTCCTTGTCATGTTTAATTATTAAACCTAAAAATCAAACAACAAAGTTACTCACTGTTTCAGAATAGATAATCAAATTATCAATATTCGAACAAGTGAAAAATTTACACTTGCAGGCAAGTCAACCAAATCGATGAGCGAACACAAAATCTGATGGCAAGAGAGGGATGCAAACGAGTCGAGTCGAGTCGGGCTCGACTCGANAATATATAATCAGAACGCAGATAATACGAACTGAATTACATAAAATTTACCGTAATAGACTTTGAGATGGTTAGAATTGAAGCCGTCAGGAATAACAGGTTCTTCAGGACGGTCAATTAACATTTCTTCTTCTCCATTCTTCATTTCCTTCTTTGTCATGTTTAATTATTAAACCTAAAAATCAAACAACAAAGTTACTCACTGTTTCAGAATAGATAATCAAATTATCAATATTCGAACCAGTGAAAAAATTACACTTGCAGGCAAGTCAACCAAATCGATGAGTGAACACGAAATCTGATGGCAAGAGAGGGATGCAAACGAGTCGAGTCGAGTCGGGCTCGACTCGAGCTCGAGTAGCTAGCCTGTCGAGTCGAGTTCGAGCCCTCGAGTTCGAGTTCGAGTTCGAGCTCGAGCTCGACATATTACTGTTAGGTTTACGACATTTTATTTGTACTGTTTGGTTTACGAACCAAACACCAACAATAGACAGCCGACACAACATTTTAACTCTTCCAGACTACTCTCTCAGACAAAATACCCTAATCGCTTCACTTAATCATCTTCATTCGGAAAAATCTATTGAAGGCTTCATCCAACTTTTACCTTAGAATCTCCAATACCCATAACCTATTGAATCCTAAATCGAAGCCCCCAAGCCTTGAGAGGTAAATCAGTGAAGCACTCTTCTAAATCCGTGAATATCAGTGGATTTTCGAAACCCCCAACCTTTAAGAGGTAAATTTCTTGAAATAAAACCCAAGGGCTGTTATTGTTTTTGGGTTTTGATATTTTTTGGGGTTTAATTGATAGTGTTTCAAATTGTGGTAAAACTCTCTTGCCAAATTGTGGTTTTAGTTTGGAAACTGTTAATCAAAGGATTGAACATGGTTGGTGAAAACTGGATGAGGGTATTCTGTATGCATTATTGTAGTTAGGGTATTCTCATGCATTATTGTAGTTTGGGTATTTTTTTAAAGTAGATCCCTGAGAAATGCTTTTATCACCCGTAATATTCCTTATGACATTGGAGAATACCCACAATGACTAAGTTGATATTAGAAACAAAATCTCAACTGCACTGCCATTAATTTCTTGGTTTTAATCAACGATTCATCTTTATTTTGCAGGGACTTGAGTTTCAACAACTTAATTGGTGAAGTGAAATCTCATAATACTTTATTCAGATCAAGTCTCTTACTTGTAAATTCATCAATCTTTCATCTTTCAATTTCAAAATCTTGATTATTGAAAAGTTAATAGTGATATGAGCCTTATGCCTTCCATTCAATATCCAGGTTTCGGTAAGAATTGTCTGTTCTCTGTTGGGAAACCTTCCGAGCCAAAAAGCAAAAATCTTCAAACCATGTAAGCCTTTGTTGAATATATATGACTGCATTTTTGTCCGTGTGTGTTTGTCTGCATATTATAACAAGTCTATGATAAATGCTACATTTTTTTTTTTTTTTTTTGTGTTATCTAGTTCTGTAATTATGTAGAGGATTTATGTGTGTGCCAGATGAATGTTGGTGTGAGAAATAGATTGACAAGAACAAAGGAAGATATAGTGTTACGTACCAATGTTGAATTTTTTGTATTGAACTTACATTGAGGGAGGTAGAATTAGATATAATAATGGTATTTCGGAAGATTAGGGGGATTGTGGCTCCTTGTCCCTAAAACATGATTCCTTCACTATTTACATGGCTTTGCATTAATATTGATGTTGGTTAGTTGAACATCATTGCATCATTTATTTTATTCTATCAGTCAAACTAACCAAAATTTCAATGACATTGATTTGATTGAATTATTAGAATGGGTCCATTTTGATTAAAGGGTTGGATTTACTTCAAATAAATTGAGATATGATAATGTTGCATATGGGAGTCGTTTATTCGATATAACATGTCTATATGAGATATGATAATAAATTTTACGATCCAAGTTGACAAAATTTTTTTCAAGGTTTACCATAGATAACATTTATCTATTATTATTGTAGTTCTCATAAATTCTTTATTTAGCTTATGCAGTTTTGGTAATCTATGGGAGAATCATCTGAAAACCAACTAATGTTGGATGATACAATTTCACCTTACATTGAGGACACAACAGATAGTGATGGAAGTGGGAGTGATGCTAGTGGTGAGCAAACTGAAGAGGGTGATGATAATCCATTTCAAAGGAGAAAAAGAGTTAAGACAATTTCTGTTATAGGTGACAGTTTCGATAAGATGAGGGAACAAGTTGCACAATGGGTGCTTATGCATGAGCATCCATTTACAATTGTGGAGGATGAGGGTTTTAACAATCTGCAAAGTTATTGTATGCCACAATGGGAAAAAATATCATGCGATACTAATAAAAATGATTGTGTGAAGCTGTATGAGAGGGAAAAGAAGAACTTGAAGACTTTGTTGAGGAATGTCAGTAAAATTAGCTTGACGACAGATTTATGGAATTCAAGTAGATTGAAAATCTATTACATGGTTCTGACAGGGCACTTTGTAGATAGTAATTGGAGGTTGACGAAACGTGTTCTAAACTTTGTTCGTATACCTCATCCTTAAGATGGTGTTCAGATTGTTGATTCCATTTATAACTGTTTGAAGGAATGGGGAATTGAAAATAAGGTCTACGCGATCTCAGTTGATAATTCTTCAGCTAATGATATGGCAATCAGGATTCTGAAGGAAAAATTTTCAATAAACAGGAAGCTCCTTTATGGAGGTAAATTGTTTCATGTTCGGTGTTGTGCACACATCTTAAATCTTATGGTTCAAGATTGTCTTCCTCAAATTAAGTACATCATTGAAGACATCTATGATAGTGTTTTATATATCAAGCTTACGGAGGGCAAACTTAACATTTTCTCGGAGATTGTGCAACAACTGCAATTGCCTTACCGAAAGCTCATTCTTGATTGTAGAACAAGGTGGACTTCTACTTATGAGATGTTGGCAACTGCACTTAAGTTCAAGGAAGTGTTTGCAAGATTCAAAGAAAGAGAGCCGCATTATAATTTTTGGCCAAACCTAGAAGATTGGGAGAAAGTAGATAAAGTTTGTGAAATTTTGAAAGTTTTCAATTCAGCTACTAATATCATCTCTGGGAGTGACTATCCAACTCCAAATTTATTTCTTATTGAAGTTTGTCGGGTGAAAGTGTTGTTGGATAAAAAGTCACAAGATGAAAATGAATTTATTCGAGACATGGTGAAAAAGATGAAAGACAAGTTTGATAAGTATTGGGAGGAATGTAATTTGTTTATAGCTGTAACTGCTGTCTTGGATCCTAGGTGCAAAATGAGGGTGATTGACTTTTGTTTCTCTAAAATGTATCATGAGCATGAAGCACAAGAAAATATTATGAGAGTTCAAGAGGTCTTATATGAGCTTTATGGGGAATATGTGGCTGAAAATCAATCTTCTAGTAATGACCATACTATTGAAACCGAAGTGATTGGTGGGGTGAATGTAGAAGATGAATCTTCTGGTTGGTCAGAATTTGCGCAATTTCTGAGAGCACAAAAATCTGAATTAGATTGTTATCTGGAAGAGGGATGTCATAGATGTAAGGGGGATCCAAATGCATTTGATGCTTTAAAGTGGTGGAAGGCGTACAATTTGGAGTATCCTATCTTATCTATGATGGCTCGTGATATACTAGCCATTCCTATCACCACGGTGGCTTCCACGGATACTTATAGTGCAGGAAGTAGAGTTATTGATGATTATCGAGCTTCATTGTCTCAAGAAACAGTGCAAATGTTACTATGTGGAGGTGATTGGTGTCGCAATCTCAATGGAGTGAAGAAAATAAACGAAGTAAATTCCATTTATTAAAATTATAAAAGTATTTTGACCTTTTTATTTAGTAGTTACTTTTATGTTAGTTTAACTTAAACTTTTTTTGGACAGGAAAAACTGACACGTCCAGCAGCTTTTCCTTGAAAAGAGTTGGGTGGATCTGACAACAAAATCACAACTCTCACTCCTAAAATTATTTGACTGCCCAAGATGAATCACAATATGGCCGATTTTCATAATTACATTCAGAAAGTTCAAAATTATCAAAAACAATATAAAGTTCTTCATATATTTACGACTATAACTATGAATTTGGTCAAAAAAATCTGAAAATACATACCCCATGAATCTATGATAACATTTTAGGGCACTGACATGTTTTTAGAAGTACAAAAAATGGAGCTTTCAATAAATGGTTCAGTGTTTTTGATACCTAACAATATACACAGATGAGTCCAACCTGAAGAGTAACATACAATTTTTGAAGTGTATAACTGGACAGTGAGTGTTGAAGCCAGGAGAAAAGAAAGAAAGAAAGGACACGTGATGAACAACCTCCATACAAGCCTAGGGTAGGTATACGCAAAAACAATAGTGAAACAAGTAAAAACAATTTCATATTCTGTTAATTTGCGAGATCAAAGCGTTTATTAAGTATACAATAATTTCCCAGACAGCACATGATGATGCATGAACTCTAATTTTCAAGATGTGAAAGTGCAATTGTAAAAGATTTTATTTATGTTCATAAGTTTCTTTGGTCAATTCTGATTTACCGTATTTGAACTTATGGTCACTCCAGGTACAAGTAATTTTCTTCTATTACTCATGGAAAGCATGTTGAAGGCAGGTCCAACAACCAGAAAAAAAAAAAAAAAAAAATTATATCAACACTTGTGTCACATGTGGCAATTCAACCTTTATTTTCCTGATTGCAGCATATGCTTTAGTTGCTCCCCAGAGAAACAAACCAAAATGATGTCATTGGGGGATCGCCTATTCTCCAGCCACTCCTTGAAGCTCAGAAGTAACAGCTGCAAACATAAGTTATAAGCATCAGTTATTAAAGGAAATGGCAGAACTTTCCATGTAAGAGAAAAGGGGTTGGGCAAAAAGAATATATTATCTGCAGTACACACTCATCAGGAATCATGCTTAGAATCTTCTTTATCTTTCTCACTTGAAAATATTTGTAGACTTGAAAGCAGTTTTTTTCCTCAAAGAATTCCCTTAGAACGTCAGTATATGATCTGCAGAGCTAGGGTGTCTTAGTAGATTAACAATGGAGCAAAATAAGAAAACCATAATATGTATCGACACTTACACTGGAAAGATGAAGTGCAGGACCGGCAGAGAAAACATCTTATTACTATTTTCATTGCTGTGAACATATTGCAAAATATACAACTTCAATTAAACTTAATGCTAACAAAAGTCTCCCACAATTCAACTTTATCAGAACAGGATAAGCACCTTGTATACATGAAATAGTCATCAGTAGCTCCTCTCTGTTCATTTGTCAACCCATAGAGTGATGGCAGTACAATTGAACTTTCTTGCCTCATGACACATATATGTGAGTAAAAGAAAACATAATAACTCTTATCGAATTACCTTCTCGCTTTTCCATCACAAACCCATCACAAACCTAACAATGAACCAAGACACCATTGTACACCCAAAGAATATGACTAAAACAAAAACCATCTGTACCATAAAATTCAATGGGCAGTGTCAAAATCGAGAAATCGTCATATTACTTTCAACCATGCATCTATGCTCATTATATTACACATGCTAATGTACATGAGCATTGTGAACCTAGCCCATAATAAAACATAAAGATGCAATAAAGAGATCAAATCTGCTTTAGTTCTTCAATATCACTGCATATGCAATTTAACTATAGCTATGAAGCTCCAGCAACTGGACAATGTGGCAATAAATGGAGCATATGTACTGTATGATATGAACCAATAAGACTTCCTTATATGTAAATTTGAACTCAAATTTATTACTTTTATCACAATACTACAGTCTGCATTATACATCACATGCACCTAAAAAAAAATTGAGGGCTTATGTAAGACAAAAGATAAGAGGCTCAAATTGAGGCTTATGTATGACAAAAATTTGAGCTCCACCTAAAACAAAATAATGATAGCACAGCAGGACCTACGAGGATATCAAAAGATAAAAGGCTGAATAGTAGATATTTCATTGATAAGAGGTACTTCCTGGCATTGTGCCCCTTCTTAATATGGAAACCCTATAACTTTCCAAATAAATAGTAACTGTTAGGGCTTATGTATTCATGCTCACTTAGTTTCATGTTGCCTACATGAACTAATAAACAGCAAACTAGTTCCTTAGTTCCTTAAGACAGATACATTGTCAGTACGAAAACAAAAGAAAATGTAAAGAAACGCTATAATTAAAGTTTGAGAAACAACAAGATCTTACATCTATAGTGTATATAGGCCGTATATATATTTTAAATGGACACTTTTCTTTGATTGCATTTCCAGCTCAGATGCACCATTGAAAGACTGGAAACTCAGATAGTCATTATCCAGAGTGAAAGAAAATCTTTTTTGGCCGAAGTAGGAGTTGTCGCAACCTGGATGCTTCCCATCAAACAATTAAGTGGAATGATCACAGATGAAATAACCACTAGTTTGTGCGTGCCTGTGAGTGCATAAGGATGGTTAGAATTGAAGCCGTCAGGAATAACAGGTTCTTGGTCAGGACGGTCGATCAACATTTTCTTCTCCCATTCTTGATTTCCTGCTTTGTCATGCTTAATTAAACCTAAAAATCAAAACACAAAGTATCACTGTTTCAGAATAGATAATCAATTATCAATATTCGAACCAGTGAAAACTTACACTTGCAGGCAAGTCAACCAAATCGATGAGCGAACACCAAATCTTATGGCAAGAGAGGATGCAACGAGTCGAGTCGAGTCGAGGCCGGGCTCGACTCGAGTCGAGTAGCTCGCCTGTCGAGTCGAGTTCGAGCCCTCGAGCTCGACATATTACTGTTAGGTTTACGACATTTTTTGTGCTGTTAGGTTTACGAACCAAACACCAGCATTAGACAGCCGACACAACATTTCAACCCTTCCAGCCTACTCTCTCAAACAAAATACCCTAATCGCTTCACTTAATCATCTTCATCGGAAAACTTATTGAAAATCGTTGGCTTCATCCAACTTTTACCTTAAAATCTCCAATACCTAAACTTATGAACCATAAATCGAAACCCCCAACCTTGAGAGGTAAATCAGCGAAGCACTCTTCTAAATCCGTGAATATCAGTGGATTTTTGAAACCCCAAACCTTTGAGAGGTAAATTTCTTGAAATAAAACCCAGGGTTGTTATTGTTTTGGGATTTGATATTTGTGGGTTTAATTGATAATGCTAGTGTTCATTCAGTAATTTTGCAACTAGAAAGAAAGCAAAGACCTACAGGCTATAGCTACAAAACTGCAGACTGAGGATTGAGGTAAAACTCTCTTACCAACTTGTGGCTTTAGTTGGAAACTGTAAATTAAATGATTGAACATGCTTGGTGAAAACTGGATGAGGTATTCTGAATGTATTATTGTAGTTTGGGTATTTTTATATTATTGTTGTTTGGGTATTTTTTATATGTAGATTCCTTATGACATTGGAGATACCAACAGTTAATGACCAAGTTGATATTAGAAACAAATCTCAACTGCACTGCCACTAATTTCTTGGTTTTAATCAACGATTATCTTATTTTGGAGGGATTGAGTTTCAACAACTTACTGGTGAAATCTCGAGTGCTTTATTCAATATCAGTCCTCTTACTGACTGTAAATTCATCAATCTTTCATCTATCAATTTCAAGATCTGATTATTGAAAAGTTAATAGTTTGATTTAAATTTTGATATGAGCCTTATGCCTTCCATTCAAATCCAGGTTTTGGAAACACTTGTCTGTCGGGAGACCACTGCATTTCTGCGCGGTGTGTCTGATTTAAAAAAGTTAATTTTCCATTTATTTATTTATATATATATTTTTTTTTTATGTGTTTGTTCTATAATTTTGTAGAGAATTTATGGAGCAGCTGATCCTATTAATGGGGTGGAAGGCGTACAATTTGGAGTATCCTATCTTATCTATGATGGCTCGTGATATACTAGCCATTCCTATCACCACGGTGGCTTCCACGGATACTTATAGTGCAGGAAGTAGAGTTATTGATGATTATCGAGCTTCATTGTCTCAAGAAACAGTGCAAATGTTACTATGTGGAGGTGATTGGTGTCGCAATCTCAATGGAGTGAAGAAAATAAACGAAGTAAATTCCATTTATTAAAATTATAAAAGTATTTTGACCCTTTTATTTAGTAGTTACTTTTATGTTAGTTTAACTTAAACTTTTTTTTTTTTTTTTCCTTTTTGTATTTTAGGAAGAACTAGAGGAGATGATACTTCCTATCCCTTCACTTGATGAAATTCAGAAGACTGTTTGATCCTGCCTTGGTCGTATTGCTGCTGATAGTGCAAATAGGTTCTGCTAACAGGTAACTCTAACTTCATTTCTCCCAAATTCTCTTGGATTCATGCAAATGACGTATTTCTGAGGTGGTTTTCTTAATCAAGACATGTTTTTTATTATCATATCCGGGAAACAAGTGAAGGGAGTAGCAAATTACCTGAAACTGGGGATGAGAGATTGTGAGAAATGAAACCATGATTTGACACTGGCAGAGTTAAATATAAAACCTTCACAGAATGAAGATACTAGTAAACATTCTGTTTTTGATTACTTTGAATAAAATGTACCACTTAGAAACTTGCACCTTTATGTTTTGTATTGCTGTGTATTTGCCATAAAGTGTATTAATTTTATCAGGAGTTGCATTTACTTGGTTGTTTAAAATTTTTTCTGCAATTTGATTATGGTTGGCAAATGATATGGAACTGTCTGATGCATGGGTTACCAATATTCAACAATCTAACCACAGTTGCAAGTTTTTTGTTGGCTGAGTTCTTTTTTGAATTAGATATAATTGTTTGAGAATATTTTGCCTGTTCTATTGGTTATGAAGCCTGTGTTTGCTTCTAGGATCTGACTTCGAGATGTACAATGAATATAGATGGTGGGTAGTGTCAAGAGATTTTTCTTTTTTGCTGATGCCTTTAATCACTTAGGTTCAAAAGTTGAGAACATTTTTCTTGTCAATTAATTGGAATCCCATGTATTTGCTTCTGGGACTGATTTGATAACTTCTCTTGTTGCAAGGCTCTCTGGTCCTTATGTTCTGTTTATAAGATGTATCTATAGAGGTAAACTTTGATAAAGGTTTGAGTATGTGGATGAAACAGTAATGTAAATGCAATCTGTATTATTTTGCTATCTCTGTGTATAATCTGGCATAACATTGAATGATATCAGTTCTGGTATGTAATGTAGACCAATATTACTATGTTGCAATGAGAAATGTCTCATACAATGTGCATTTGTGTTCATTTATGCAGGTTGATGCTGTTTGTTTTGGAGCTCCAATATCAGTTTTCATGACCCTTATATATGGAAAGCTTGAGCAAGAACTTCATGCAGTATGTACTAACATGAGAGCTCATTCATGGGGACTCGGTTTATTATATTTGCTGCTAGATTGATGTAGTTGAATGCATGGTTATATGTTAAATTTTGCTACTCGTACGAAGAGATATTCCATAATTTTATCTCTACTATCTCTAATCTTTTATGTAAGTGCTTATTTTATATAAGTTTATCAAAACCACAGTGATGTTATAGATCCCTCATAATTTATCTTAGTAAATCCTTTTTTTTTTTTTTTTTTTTTAAATTAACCCTATTAATTTTTTTAAACATAACTAAATGATTAAATAAACTCTATCCATTTACAAAATAATCCTTGCCTTTATATTTTTACTACTCATGTTATACTTTCTCGATCCTTGTTTTATATATACTCTTCTTTTTATTTATATTTTATCTCCATTTAATATATCAATAAAGTATACAAAAATATAAAAAATAAAAAACTTATAAATTTTGCAAATGTGCAAATTAATTGAATATTTGAAAGAGTAACATATGATAAAATAAACCCAAATTATATGTTATTGATAAAACTCATTTTATCTTTGATTATTTCAAAATAAAATTAGGGTTTATGATGTAGAAAAGGAAATATAAATTTTAAAGTAATAGTAAAAGTACACGAGATGGTAAATTAATCTAGAGAAACGTGAAATGTTGAAAGCACTACCAACTCAGAATTCTTAGTTAGCTGTAGTTTAGCATTGTAGAAACTTTGAATCTCCTCCTGCAACAACCATGAATTACAAAGTTAAATTCTGTATTTTTCTTGAATTCTTGCTAGCTTATTTGCTTTCTTTATCTAACGATATATTGTTTCAACAAAAGAATAATTGAGTTTATTGTCATTGAGTAATTTACCTTTCAAGATTTTAGCAGAGGCTGCAAGAATGATGATCTGAAAAACATGATTGATTTCCCAAGTGTGGTTTTCTCCCATTCTGCCACCAAGCAAAACATTTAAGAATTAATGCTACAAGAAAAACAAATTCCATGTTGCGTACATGGAAAACTGACAGTCCAGCAGCTTTTCCTTGAAAAGAGTTGGGTGGATCTGACAACAAAATCACAACTCTCACTCCTAAAATTATTTGACTGCCCAAGATGAATCACAATATGGCCGCATTTTCATAATTACATTCAGAAAGTTCAAAATTATCAAAAACAATATAAAGTTCTTCATATATTTTACGACTATAACTATGAATTTGGTCAAAAAAATCTGAAAATACATACCCACTGAAATCTATGATAACATTTTAGGGCACTGACATGTTTTTAGAAGTACAAAAAATGGAGCTTTCAATAAATGGTTCATGTGTTTTGATACCTAACACATATACACAGATGAGTCCAACCTGAAGAGTAACATACATATTTTTGCAAGTGTATAACTGACAGTGAGTGTTGAAGCCAGGAGAGAAAAGAAAAGAAAGGACACGTGATGAACAAACCTCCATATCAAGCCTAGGGTAGGTATACGCAAACACAATAGTGAACAAAGTAAAAACAATTTCATATTCTGTTAATTTGCGAGATCAAAGCCTGTTATATTAAGTATACAATAATTTCCCAGACAGCCACATGATGATGCATGAACTCCTAATTTTCAAGATGTGAAAGTGCAATTGTAAAAGATTCTTATTTATGTTCATAAGTTTCTTTTGGTCAATTCTGATTTACCGTATCTTGAACTTATGGTCACTCCAGGTACAAGTTAATTTTCTTCTATTACTCATGGAAAGCATGTTGAAGGCAGGTCCAAACAACCAGAAAAAAAAAAAAAAAAAAATTAATATCAACACTTGTGTCACATGTGGCAATTCAACCTTTTATTTTCCTGATTGCAGCATATGCTTTAGTTGCTCCCACCGAGAAACAAACCAAAATTGATGTCATTGGGGGATCGCCTATTCTCCAGCCACTTCCCTTGAAGCTCAGAAGTAACAGCTGCAAACATAAGTTATAAAGCATCAGTTATTAAAGGAAATGGCAGACCTTTCCATGTAAGAGAAAAGGGGGTTGGGGCAAAAAGAATATATTATCTGCAGTACACACTCATCAGGAATCATGCTTAGAATCTTCTCTTATCTTTCCTCACTTGAAAATATTTGTAGACTTGAAAGCAGTTTTTCCTCAAAGAATTCCCTTAGAACGTCAGTATATGATCTGCAGAGCTAGGGTGTCTTAGTAGATTAAACAATGGAGCAAAATAAGAAAACCATAATATGTATCGACACTTACACTGGGAAAGAATGAAGTGCAGGACCCGGCAGAGAAAACATCTTATTACTATTTTCATTGCTGTGAACATATTGCAAAATATACAACTTCAATTAAACTTAATGCTAACAAAAGTCTCCCACAATTCCAACTTTATCCCAGAACAGGATACAGCACCTTGTATACATGAAATAGTCATCAGTAGCTCCTCTCTGTTCATTTGTCAACCCATAGAGTGATGGCAGTACAATTGAACTTTCTTTGCCTCATGACACATATATGTGAGTAAAAGAAAACATAATTCAACTCTTTATCGAATTACCTTCTCGCTTTTCCATCACAAACCCCATCACAAACCTAACAATGAACACCAAGACACCCATTGTACACCCAAAGAATATGACTAAAACAAAAACCATCTGTACCATAAAATTCAATGGGCAGTGTCAAAATCGAGAATACGTCATATTACTTTCAACCATGCATCTATGCTCATATATAATACACATGCTAATGTACATGAGCATTGTGAACCTAGCCCATAATAAAACATAAAGATGCAAAATAAAGAGATCAAATCTGCTTTAGTTCTTCAATATCACTGCATATGCAATTTAACTATAGCTATGAAGCTCCAGCAACTGGACAATGTGGCAATAAATGGAGCATATGTACTGTATGATACATGAACCAATAAGACTTCCATTATATGTAAATTTTGAACTCAAATTTATTACTTTTATCACAATACTACAGTCTGCATTATACATCACATGCACCTAAAAAAAAATTGAGGGCTTATGTAAGACAAAAGATAAGAGGCTCAAATTTGAGGCTTATGTATGACAAAAATTTGAGCTCCACCTAAAACAAAATAATGATAGCACAGCAGGACCTACCGAGGATATCAAAAGATAAAAGGCTGAAATAGTAGATATTTCATTGATAATGAGAGTAACTTCCTGGCATTGTGCCCCTTCTTAATATGGAAACCCTATAACTTTCCAAATAAATAGTAACTGTTATAGGGCTTATGTATTCATGCTCACTTAGTTTCATGTTGCCTACATGAACTAATAAACAGCAAACTAGTTCCTTAGTTCCTTAAGACAGATACATTGTCAGTACGAAAACAAAAGAAAATGTTAAAGAAACGCTATAATTAAAAGTTATGAGAAACAACAAGATCTTACATCTATAGTGTATATAGGCCGTATATATATTTTAAATGGACACTTTTCTTTGATTGCATTTTCCAGCTCAGATGCACCATTGAAAGACTGGAAACTCAGATAAGTATCATTATCCAGAGTGAAAGAAAATTCTTTTTGGCCGAAGTAGGAGTTGTCGCAACCTGGATGCTTCCCATCAAACAATTAAGTGGAATGATCACAGATGAAATAACCACTAGTTTGTGCGTGCCTGTGAGTGCATAAGGATGGTTAGAATTGAAGCCGTCAGGAATAACAGGTTCTTGGTCAGGACGGTCGATCAACATTTCTTCTCCTCCATTCTTGATTTCCTGCTTTGTCATGCTTAATTATTAAACCTAAAAATCAAACAACAAAGTTACTCACTGTTTCAGAATAGATAATCAAATTATCAATATTCGAACCAGTGAAAACTTACACTTGCAGGCAAGTCAACCAAATCGATGAGCGAACACCAAATCTTATGGCAAGAGAGGGATGCAAACGAGTCGAGTCGAGTCGAGCCCGGGCTCGACTCGAGCTCGAGTAGCTCGCCTGTCGAGTCGAGTTCGAGCCCTCGAGCTCGACATATTACTGTTAGGTTTACGACATTTTATTTGTGCTGTTAGGTTTACGAACCAAACACCAGCATTAGACAGCCGACACAACATTTCAACTCTTCCAGCCTACTCTCTCAAACAAAATACCCTAATCGCTTCACTTAATCATCTTCATTCGGAAAAATCTATTGAAAATCGTTGGCTTCATCCAACTTTTACCTTAAAATCTCCAATACCTATAACATATTGAACCATAAATCGAAACCCCCAACCTTTGAGAGGTAAATCAGCGAAGCACTCTTCTAAATCCGTGAATATCAGTGGATTTTTGAAACCCCAAACCTTTGAGAGGTAAATTTCTTGAAATAAAACCCAAGGGTTGTTATTGTTTTGGGGCTTTGATATTTTTTGGGTTTAATTGATAATGCTAGTGTTTCATTTCAGTAATTTTGCAACTAGAAAGAAAGCAAAGACCTACAGCTACAAAACTGCAGACTGAGGATTGAGGTAAAACTCTCTTACCAACTTGTGGCTTTAGTTTGGAAACTGTAAATTAAATGACTGAACATGCTTGGTGAAAACTAGATGAGGGTATTCTGAATGTATTATTGTAGTTTGGGTATTTTTATGTATTATTGTTGTTTGGGTATTTTTTATATGTAGATTGCTTATGACATTGGAGAATACCAACAGTTAATGACCAAGTTGATATTAGAAACAAAATCTCAACTGCACTGCCACTAATTTCTTGGTTTTAATCAACGATTCATCTTTATTTTGGAGGGATTTGAGTTTCAACAACTTAACTGGTGAAATCTCGAGTGCTTTATTCAATATCAGTTCTCTTACTGACTTGTAAATTCATCAATCTTTCATCTATCAATTTCAAGATCTTGATTATTGAAAAGTTAATAGTTTGATTTAAATTTTGATATGAGCCTTATGCCTTCCATTCAATATCCAGGTTTTGGAAACAATTGTCTGTCGGGAGACCACCTGCATTTCTGCGCGTGTGTGTCTGCATATTATAAAAAGTTAATAGTTACCATTTATTTATTTATATATATATTTTTTTTTTATGTGTTTGTTCTATAATTTTGTAGAGAATTTATGTGTGCCAGATGATAATGTTGAATTATTAGAATGGGTCGATTTAGATTAAAGGGTTGGATTTACTTCAAATAAATTAAGATATGGGAGTCGTTTATATGATATAATATGTCTATATGAGATATGATAATAAATTTTACGATCCAAGTTGACAAAATTTTTTTCAAGGTTTACCATAGATTCCATTTATCTACTCTTGTTGTAGTTCTCATAAATTCTTTATTTAGCTTATGCAGTTTTGGTAATCTAATGGAAGAATCATCTGAAGATCAACTAATGTTGGATGATACAATTTCACCTTACACTGTTGACACAATTGATACTGATGGAAGTGCAAGCAATGTTAAAACATTTTCTGTTATAAGTGACAGTTTCGATATGGTGAAGATGAGAGAACTAGTTGCACAATGGGTGCTTATGCATGAGCATCCATTTACAATTGTAGAGGATGAGGGTTTTAACAATCTGCAAAGTTATTGCATGCCACAATGGGAAAAAATATCATGCGATACTAATAAAAATGATTGTGTGAAATTGTATGAGATGGAAAAAAAGAAGTTGAAGACTTTGTTGAGGAATGTTAGTAAAATTAGCTTGACGACAGATTTATGGAATTCAAGTAATCTGAATATTGAGTACATGGTTCTGACAGGGCATTTTGTAGATAGTAATTGGAGGTTGACGAAACGTGTTCTCAACTTTGTTCATATACCTCATCCTCACGGTGGTGTCCAAATTGTTGATTCCATTTACAACTGTTTAAAGGAATGGAGAATTGAAAATAAGGTCTACGCGATCTCAGTTGATAATTCTTCAACTAGTGATGTGGCAATCAGGATTCTGAAGGAAAAAATTTCAATAAACAGGAAGCTTCTTTGTGGAGGTAAATTGTTTCATGCTCGATGTTGTGCACATCTTAAATCTTATGGTTCAAGATTGTCTTCCTCAAATTAAGGACATCATTGAAGACATCTATGATAGTGTTTTATATATCAAGCTTACGGAGGGCAAACTTATCATTTTCTCGGAGATTGTGCAACAGTTGCAGTTGCCTTATCGAAAGCTCATTCTTGATTGTAGAACGAGGTGGACTTCTACTTATGAGATGTTGGCAACTGCTCTGAAGTTCAAAGAGGTGTTTGCAAGATTCAAAGAAAGAGAGCCGCATTATAATTTTTGGCCAAACCTAGAAGATTGGGAGAAAGTAGAGAAAGTTTGTGAAATTTTAAAAGTTTTCAATTCTACCACTAATATCATCTCTGGGAGTGACTATCCAACTTCAAATGTATTTCTTATCGAAGTTTGTCGGGTGAAAGTATTGTTGGATAAAAAGTCACAAGATGAAAATGAATTTATTCAAGACATGGTGAAGAAGATGAAAGACAAGTTTGATAAGTATTGGGAAGAATGTAATTTGTTGATGGCTATAGCAGCTGTCTTGGATCCTAGGTGCAAAATGAAGGTGATCGACTTTTGCTTCTCTAAAATGTATCCTAAGCATGAAGCACGAGAAAATATTCTAAGAGTTCAAGAGGCCTTATCTGAGCTTTATGGGGAATATGTGGTTGAAAATCAATCTTCTATTGATGACCATATTGTTGAAACCGATCTGATTGGTGGGGTAAATGTGATAGATGAATCTTCTGGTTGGTCAGAATTTGCGCAGTTTCTGAGGGCACAAAAATCTGAATTAGATTGTTATCTGGAAGAGGGATGTCATAGATGTAAAGGGGATCCAAATGCATTTGATGCTTTAAAGTGGTGGGAGGCAAACAATTTGGAGTATCCTATCTTATCTATGATGGCTTGTGATATACTAGTCATTCCTATCACCACAGTGGCTTCCGAAGATACTTATAGTGCTGGAAGTAGAGTTATTGATGATTATCGAGCTTCATTGTCTCAAGAAACAGTGCAAATGTTACTATGTGGAGGTGATTGGCGTCGCAATCTCAATGGAGTGAAGAAAATAAACAAAGTAAGTTCCATTTATTAAAATTATTATAGTATTTTGGCCCTTTTATTTAGTAGTTACTTTTATTTTAGTTTAATTTAAACTTTTTTTTTTCCTTTTTGTATTTTAGGAAGAACTAGAGGAGATTATACTTCCTATCCCTTCATTTGATGAAATTCAGAAGACAGTTTGATCCTGCCTTGGTCATAGTGCTGCTGATAATGCAGAATTGCAGATAGATTCTGCTAACAGGTAACTCTAACTTCATTTCTCCCAAATTCTTTTGGATTCATGCAAATGACTTACTTCTGAGGTGGTTTTCTTAATCAAGAGCATGTTTTTTATTATCATATCCGGGAAACAAGTGAAGGGAGTAGCAAATTACCTGAAACTGGGGATGAGAGACTGTGAGAAATGAAACCATGATTTGACAGTGGCAAAGTTAAATATAAAACCTTCACAGAATGAAAATACTAGTAAACATTCTGTTTTGTATTGTTTTTGAATAAAAAATACCACTTGGCAACTTGCACCTTTCTGGTTTGTGGTGTTGTTTATTTCGCATAAAGTGTATTAATCTTATCAGGAGTTGCATTTACTTTGTTGTATAAATATTTTTTGCAAATGATATGGAACTGTCTGATGCATGGGTTTCCAATATTCAGAAAATCTAAGTGTCTAACCACAATTGTAAGTTTTTTGTTGGCCGAGTTCTTTTATGAATTATATTTAATTGTTTGAGAATATTTTGCCTGTTCTATTGGTTAGGAAGCCTGTATTTGCTTCTAGGATCTGAATTCGAGATGTACAATGAATATAGATGGTGGATAGATGGTGGGTACTGGGTAGGGTCAAGCGTTTTTACTTTTTGCTGATGCCTTTAATCACTTAGGTTCAAAAGTTGAGAACATTTTTCTTGTCAATTAACTGGAATCCCATGTATTTGCTTCTGGGGCTGATTTGATATGTTGCTTCTAGTGTAGTCTCAAGCAAATTTATCTTCTCTTGTTGCAAGGTCTCTCTGATTTGATATGCTGCTTCTAGGGTAGTCTCAAGCAAATTTGAAAGGTAAACTTTGATAAACGTTGGAGTATGTGGATGAAATAGTAATGTAAGAGCAATCTGTTTTATTTTGCTATCTTTGTGTATAATCTGGCATAACATTTAATGTTACCAGTTCTGGTATGTAATGTAGACCAACATTCATGCAGGTTGATGCTGTTTTGGACCTCCAATATCCATTTTCACATGACCCTTATATATGGAAGCTTTTGAGCAAGAACGTCACACAGCCTGGTTAAGATTGCAGTATGTACTAAACATCAGAACTCATTCATGGGGAGTCAATTTATTATATTTGCTGCTAGATTGATGTAGTTGAATGAATGGTTATATGTTAAATTTTGCTACTCCTATGCAGAGATATTCGGTAAATTTTATCTCTAATATCTAATCTTATATATTAGTTTGTCACGACGTTTAGATTGATCATCCTATAATTACCATCATACCATAACCGTTATAAGTGATGTTATAGATCCCTCATTCTTCTACTCATGTTATACTTTCTCAATCCTTGTTTTATATATACGCTTCTTTTTATTTATATTTTATCTTCATTTAATATATCAATCAAATATAAAAAAAAAAATTGAAACAATAAAATAGGTTAAAATAAACCCAAAAAAATAATTGGTATATGTTATTTATCAAACTCATTTTATCTTAATTATTTCAAAAATAAAATTAGAACTTATGAGGTAGAAAAGGAAACAAAAATTTTAAATTAGGTCGAACGACTTACACATACCCAAGGTTTGCCGTAATGATAAAGTGGTACCTAAAAGGTTTTGAAACAACAAATAGATACCTACAGTTATGTATTGTTAGTGATTTCTGTTTGGTAATAGTGAAAAAACTAGAATGCCCTTGAAAGTTCGATATTTTAGTTTTATGTAAATTTAAAAATTTCTAAAAAACCCCCTAGGTTTGCTAATTTAACTAAACACCCCAGTATATAAAAGTTTTGTAAAATGATAAAAACACCCCCACCACCTGCAGTGCCAGATTCCGGCCACCACCGCCGAAATCTGGCTGACAAATTGCGTTACGAAATAGACCCGTTGGATCTGTGTCGTAACGCGTCGATCTGGCCTTCTCCGGCTAGATCCGTGGGCAGATCTATGTCCAGATCTGGCCGTCGAGAGTTTTGCGGCCTCGACGGCCAGATCGATGCGTTACGACACAGATCCGACGGGTTTGTGTCGTAACGTAATTTTTCGACTAGATTCTAGCGGTGGTGGCCGGAATCTGGCACTGCGGGTGATGGGGGTATTTTTGTTATTTTATAAAATTTTTATATACTAGAGTGTTTAGTTAAATTAGCAAACCTAGGGGGTTTTTTAGAAATTTTTAAATTTACAAAAAATTAAAATATCAAACTTTCAAGGGTATTTTAGTTTTTTTACTATTACCAAATGAAAATCACTAACAGTACATGACGGAAGGTACTTATTTATCGTTACAACAAATCTTGGGTATGTGTAAATCGTTTGACCTTTTAAATTAATAACAAAAGATTTATTTTAGATAGATTATGTGCAAAATATTTTTGAGTCTTATTCAGTAATTTTCATAAAGGATAAAAGTGTAATTTAGAAAAAAAAAATTATTAGGATAAATAAGATTAAGGAGAACCATATATATAAACTTTTTCTCTAGCTTAGCTTAAAAAGGAAAAGGAAAAAAAAGGATAAAAGGTACTTCTGTTCATTGCGATGTCTACCCACAAACAGGAGACCAGAAAGTTTCAAGCTTCACCAAAACGACACAGTATAATAAAAGTTAAAGTCCTGTCCTTGGCAATATTAAGTTTTTTGTGACAAAAAAAAGGAATTCCTCTCATTCACCATAACAAGCACGAATAATAAACAATACTCAGAAAAGTGAAAAAAAGAAATAAAAAAAAAAACAGTATTTTAATATATTTTTTAAAATTAGGTGGATGAGATGAGAAGCTCTGGACCTTTCGCTCCGAATGGCGGTGCATTTTGGACGCGTCTGAGAATCCGTAACAGAACCCGATATTCCCGCTGATATTGGACACAATATTTTCCGGCTTGAGATTCCGCTAGAGTTACCGTGATGGTGACCAACGATTATATCACCGTTAACGGCAACGGTAGTGGGGTTTTCGGTAAGACGGAGGAGGAGTATGTCAGGAGGCTCCACAAGCACGACGTCCAAGACCACCAGTGTAGCTCTTCGCTTGTTAAACACATCAAAGCTCCTGTTCCACTGGTAAGCTCTTTTTATTTTCTCTTCTTGTTTCTCAAATAAATCAAATTAATTATGGATATGTTCTATGATTAGTTTTAGTTTTTTAGATTTATTGGAGATCCGTAGACAGATCGGAGATTTAACATTTAACTTTTAGAATGATTGGCGATTTGTATTTTAACCGTTCTTAGCGTTCACGATTAGTTTGATTTTGTTTTAGGGCTTCCATAAATGTAATGAGTTTGTTTAGAGCTCTGTGTTGAAGACTTCGTACATTTGACAAGTTTAAAGTGGAGACTGAGTAAACGCTTGACAAAGTCTTATAGACATGTTGTATTGAATTTTGATTGCATTTCGTGTTTGCTTAATATACTCTCATTTAACGAGAATGTATTGCATGCAACTCGTTAAATCTTTGGTAGTTTTGGTTTCAGAGATTTTTTATTTTGTCTGAGAGAATCATTGCGAAAGTTTTGCATTGTCAGGTGTGGTCTTTGGTGAGGAGCTTTGATCAACCGCAGAAGTATAAGCCGTTTATTAGCCAATGCATTGTACAGGGTGACCTTCAGATTGGAAGTGTGAGAGAGGTGAATGTTAAGTCAGGTCTGCCAGCTACAACTAGCACTGAAAGGTTGGAGCTGCTAGATGATAAAGAGCATATTTTTGGCATGAGGATTGTTGGAGGAGATCACAGGCTCAAGGTATGTTAGTTATTAATTTCACAAATGATGCCTTTGTGCGTGTGTGCAAGCACATGAATAACTTTGTTAGATCTGGACAAGTTGGTTTCATCAAGTCTTAGTAAGATACCTGGGTTGATATATTAATCATTGCTTGTAAATTTGTTTTAATTCATTCTAGTTTTGTCAGTGGAAATTTAATATGATGCAATATGAGGAGAATATTTCATAGTTTACCCCAATGGCCCAAAATTTTGTTTGGCTCAATGGCCCCTTCGGAATGTCACTGTGATGAAAATATATAATTTGCTGTGGCATAAGGCTTTCTTCAATTGATATTAGGTTTTTAATAATGATTTAAATCAGTTTATGATCTGATTTCAGATTGGAGTTGATTATCAGAGTTGTTGGAAGGCATTTTGGAGCTTAAGATTGTTCTTTGTTACCAAATGGGATTTTGTTTTCCAGAAAGAAGATTAAAACCTAAACTACAAAATTTCTCTATGAAATCCTGGGATATATATTGAATTATGGTTCTTATTTAAAGCACATGTTGTGAAATAAATAATATATAGTGTAAGAGAAAAGAAATTGTAAGAGAGAGAGGAGTAGTGCAAAGCTTTCATTCGGTTGGCAGGCTCCATTTATAGAAATCCCAAAGCATCAATTCGCCTAATTAGGAAAATGAATATGAAGCATTGATAGGAAAAAGTAAGTTTAAAACATCTGGCAAGTGGCAGAATATTTACACCACTTCACAACTTTCCTTTTTGAATTTTCACCACTTTTAGATAATTATATTAGACTTTGTTCAGGAAAAAACTAGTAACATAACAACTTTAAGAAACACAAATTTATGATCAATTGTAAAGTCGTGTTTGATATGCTTAAAAATTTTGTCAGTAAAATCCAATGGTACCTAGTCAATGGAAAACTGTGTTCTTTGTTTAGTTTTTTTCTGAGGAAACCTAATACAATTATCTGAAGTTAGTGAAAATTCAAGAGCGATGTTGTGAAATGTTAGGAATATTTCACCGCTTGGCTCATGATTTAAATCACTTATTCCTGGTAACATTTAATTGCCTAGTTGCCTGGCTTGGCCATTTTTTGGGCTTCTATTAACATAGAGCCCCCCAATGGATTTTTAATTTATACCAATTGCATGAATCTGTACAGCTTTATTTCACAGTAAATAACTTACTATAGCATTTAACTTGACATTGCACTGAATTTTTATGATCTCTTTTTAACATGTGTTTTTAGTACTGTTATATCTGGCGGGAACTTTTCTTGCATTGATTATTTAGAATATTCTTTGGAGGCAATTTAGGACCAATAAACAGGATTTCTGGGTTTCTTAATAAAACTTAAAACTTATAAAATCTATGCAGTAGCTCATCGGGTTGGGTACGTGAATTGTCACTGCTCTCGTCCTCTGGGTGATGTGTCCTCTATAGCCAATGTCAATTAGAGTCCATTCTTGCCTCTTTTGTCTCACTAGCATATCAAGACCGAGCCCAGTAATTCACTTGTGCAATTGGTGGATTATTGCATGAGCATACTACTTAATTGATTTTATCTCATTGTGCCTGTGTTGTATATAAAATTCATTATAATGTAATTATTATAGTACAACTGTTTAATTCAATTTCTTTAATTGAATTTGAAATGACAGTTGGAAGAATGTGCCTACTTCTCTACTTGTGAATTAGATCAAACAATCCTTTTTTCATATCCAATATTTTCTGTGCTCGTGCAATATCTTGATCATCCAAAATTTATTCTACTCTGTTTCACCTTCTTCCATAATTGCAGAACTACTCTTCCATTGTTACTGTACATCCAGAGGTCATTGAGGGGAGACCAGGAACATTAGTAATCGAATCATTTGTGGTGGATGTACCAGATGGAAATACCAAGGATGAAACGTGCTTTTTTGTTGAGGCTCTGATCAAATGCAATCTCAAGTCTCTAGCTGATGTCTCAGAGCGTTTGGCTGTGCAGGACCGGACAGAGTCGATTGACAGAATCTGAGTCTTGGGGGTCAGGTTAGTAAGATAGAGGTTCCCTTACGGTGTGGGTGGAGAATGTGAAGCATGTTATGTGAAAAGTGAGTAGCGTATTTGGCATCTACAGACATGTTCAGCTTTTCTTTACATACACTTTATGATCTATTTCTTTCACTAAATTGATGTTGGGTATCTTGTATTCGTAGTGGCTGACAATCGAGGCTCATCTATGGTCTACAAGTTTCCTAAATTAGAACAAACAAAAAAAACAAAAACAAAAAAAAGTAGGTTTCTCTCTGTGATTTTTCTATATTTCAATAATTGGGTATGGTATGTATTGATTTCAGATTGTAAATATTTTTGCATGATGAATATATGTTATATTTAAACTGCTTACTGTTTGGGGGTGCATGTTTATGAATTGAATTGATTTTTTGTCATTACGTAATACAATATTTTAGAGTGAAATTTAAGAATACATTCTTCAATAATTTTCTCTTACAATCGAAGTGCATAAATGAGCCAAAGAATTAGGTGGTACATGTTTCCCATTTAAAGCTAAACACACAGAATGTGTGAAGAGTTATGAGTCACCCTCCCATAAAGTCAGGCGCTGCGATATGACCGTTGTTTAATAAATACGGAAACTGTAAAAGCTTGAAGAGCTCCCTTTTCTCTTTGCAAATCGCAATAGGGTAGTCCTATTAGGTTTAGCAAGTGTTATATGAATCATTTGCCGAAGAACTTTGTAATTTGTGGACTCTGTATGAGTACTGAGAATAAATATAAACTTATAGTAGCGGATTTCATTGATAAACAATTGTAAGAGAATCTCTCGTTAGTGGTAAACACATGTTAGTATGTTACGGACATGGTTGCCTTTATTCTTAATGCTGGTGTTGCTTTTCTTTTCTATTCGTTTGGTCGGAGTTAGCCACTTGCCATTCCTCCAATACCCTTTGTCAGAAATCTGAGTTTTTTTATATATATATATGAAAGATTAATTACATTAATGTTTGGATTAGAGTCACATTTTATATTACATTTTGGTGTGTCATTTGTCGGGTCCTTCAGATTTTAGGTGTTTTAACCATTTGATATATTAATTAGAGTAAACAACTTTTTCCCACCCACTTTTGTCTTCATGATTTCCACCTAAAAAGTTTCAAAATACCACTTTTCTATCCGAAGTGGAAAGAAAACTTGGTTCAAGTTGTTAGGGCTTTTGAAGAAAAGATGTTAGTTAGTCTTTTGTTAGTGACAGGTTGGATTTTAGTAGTCAGAATCTGACTTGGAAGAGGTGGCTGTACATTATACAAATCACTCGATTATCGGTGATTGAGAGGAGCAAGGTTTAAGAGGTTTTGGTGAATAGTGATCGGGGTAGAGAATGATGGTGGCGTGAGATTGTAAAAATGTCGAAATCGATCGACGATTGGTTGGAATATAAACTTTGGGTGAAAAATTGGTATTTTGAAACTTTTTTGGGTGGGAAAGTGTTATTAAGGCAAATGTTTGGGTGAGAAAAGTGGTTTACTCTATTAATTAATTGTTGTGTTAAAAGTATTTTACTTAATGTCATAAAATATCTTTTAAATTTATTTATATTTTAGTTTATTCGTTTTAACTTGATAATATAAACATAAATATTTTTAATTTAACCCTAGGGGTCTGCTTAGGAGTTTTTTTTCACTAGTTTTAGGGGGTTTTTAATTAGACTGGTTTTGAAGTGTTTAAAAATCATTACTTGCCAGATTTTTTATAGGTTGGTTTTGACTGGTTTAAAAACCTCAAAAAACCAGTGTAGTGTATTTTTGAGGGTTTATAAAACACCCCAAATCGAGGTGTTTTGGTTGGTTTAAAAATTTTATCCCAAAAAACCCCTTTCCACTATTATTCATATACAATAATCCCTTTGTTGGTTTAAAAATTTCTTCAAACCCCATTCAATCTTCAACTTTTAGATGACTATTACAATGCTTTTGAATCTTTTATCTTAGGCTTTCTAATCCTTCGATAGAGATATGAAGGTTTTTCTTTCTTTCTTCTTCAATTTCCCCTTCAACTTTTTGTTATTTTAATCTGGTAAACTCCTTTGCAGGCTGTATATAATTTAATTGCATTTCTTTACCAATTGTTTTACAAAATTAGGTTGTTTTTCCTTTATTTGATTCTTTCTATTTGCGTTTAGGTGATTCATTGAATCCTTATCAGTTTTTTAAATAAAGATTGTTTTTTATGGCTTTGCTTCACTGATTGAAGAAAAGAACAAAAAACTATTTTTTAGAAATGCTGTTACTGTTGTTATATTGATAATTTGCGAAGTCCAACATTATGGCAGCATATTTATTCTCTTAAAATAACATATTTCGAATGATTGTGTAATAAATTAAATAATATACAATAAAAGAACTTACAAATAAATTAAACTTGGAAAAAACTTTGATATTAAATATTGGTAATTGAAAAAAAAAAAACTCTCAAATACTAGTTAAAGTTAAGGTATTTTTATGGGTATATATATAAATTTATCATTTTAAAAAACTATAAGAACCGTTGGAAAATAAACTCTCAAGCACAGGTTGTGTATTTTAAAAATTGTTACTAAAAACTCCTCAAAACTGTTACAATGATTTACTTTTATAACCGTTATCATAAAACTCTCAAGCAGGCCCTAGATGAGTGAGTGGGTAAGAATTATGCGGCCAGTCACGGGGGATTCGTTAATACAAGAATAATTCAATAAAGTATTATTAGTTTGCTTTAAAAAATTACTGATAATCAAAATGCGAAATAAAGAACAGGCTGAAACCGGGAAATAGCTGAATTCTTCATTCCCAACGCGCATCTAAAGCTAAAGAATACTTATATAAAAATGAAAAGGAATAAACAAATATTAGATAAATAACTCTTTAAAGAGGCCCACGCTTTGTGACGCGTCGGTGCCTCCACTCGTTCACACAAGCTCTCCCTGACTCCCAGTCCCACTCTCTTTAATAATCTTTCAACTCCATTTCTCACTCTCTTCGTCCCTGAAGACAAGCGCTTACAGACAAATCCAATCCCTTCTTTGCTCTCTATCTCCAAGCTCCCACTCACCTTTTTTAGGTGTCCGACGAGTTTCTTCAGCTTCAAACAGGTCTCTTTTTCGCTGACAATTTAGCTCATTCTTTCCTTTACTTCTCCATCAATAAACAAATGGAGATCTCTCTCTCTTGGCTGTAATTCTGCCGCTTTCTTTTTATTTAACTATTTTTATCTCCAGATCTATATTTTGTACCTTTCTCTTTGTATGCTCTTCCTCAGTTAAAGCACTTTTTGTACCAGTCTTTTTGTCACTGTATTTATAAATATAAGTAATAAGATTTTCGCTCAACTGAAGTTCGTATAAACAATTTTTATTTATCTTCTGAAGTCTGAATTGTCCTTCTGAACCTCCAAAATTACGAAAATGCTTCGGTTTTTGCTCTCTTTTTCTGTTATTTTATCGTATTTTAGTTGCTTCTCTCACGCGAGCGTGATAACGTGCTCCGGGATAGTACCGTTGAGGTACCGAAACGATAAGATATCGATCACCGATTTCGGGGGTGTCGGTGACGGGAAGACGTTGAACACGAAAGCTTTTCGTGAGGCGATATATCGTATTCAGCATTTGGGGAGAAGAGGTGGCACGCTTCTTTATGTGCCTCCTGGGGTATACTTAACCGAAAGTTTCAATCTCACTAGTCACATGACTCTTTATTTGGCTAGAGGTGCGGTTATCAAGGCCACGCAGGTAACTCATTTACTATGATCTGGTTTGGAGTTAAATTTGATACCACAAAAAAGAGTTAATGTGAGCAATAAATACTAGGACATGTCGGTGAATTTTTAATAATTCGTTGATATTGAACAGTATTCTGCAATTATTGTACTTGTTATATGCAATCTGAATCGTTTAAAAATGGACTGTTTGATTACAACATTCTAGAAGTTATGCTTATAAATGGCTTATTGTCTTCCAAAATTGTATTTGTTACATGCAACGAAATGCGAAACGTTTGCTGGTTGGTTATTGGCAAAGATTACACATGCTTGCATATATATTTTATGGGTGAATCTTGCCTTTGTTGATATCAATTGGTTGGATTTGGAATTGGGTTAATATAAATATATTTATATTTTTTTGTGTGGTCTTGAGTACTGTGATGTAGTTGACACTTGACATGTCTATTAGTTGGATCATTGTATTGGCTGAACCAGAGTGATTAAGTAAAAAGTCGTGGATGAAGAGATCTAAATGAATTTTGGTGGGTCCATAGCAAAACTGTTGGGTCTATGTAGCATGGTGGCATGTGCAACGCATTTAAAGAATTAACAATTCTGCTGGTTGGGCTGCCAAATAGCTGGCGGATGATGTTCTGTGTCTATCGTGATATAAGGTTAAGAGTATAATATTTCTTGGTCCGCTACCATGCAAAGTTGTGGATACAACTCATGGCTTTGATAATGACAATTCTGATTATTATTTTTTTAAATAATTAAACCATGCCTCTATTAAGTAATAAATGCTATATGGTTAAAAGATAAATACAATGGAAAGAAAAGTAACTTGTGAAAATTGTTTATTGTCAAATGGTTACATAACCTTAAAATTTAAGCCCTTGAAGCTTACTTTATAGGATCTTTCTTTTTCTCACTATCACTGGACCATGTCGGCTACTAAGTTGGGATCAAGATCTGTCTGTNATAATTGGTATATGTTATTTATCAAACTCATTTTATCTTAATTATTTCAAAAATAAAATTAGAACTTATGAGGTAGAAAAGGAATTTAAAATTTTAAAAATTTTAATTTACACATACCCAAGGTTTGCTGTAACGACAAAGTGGTACCCAAAAGGTTTTGAAACAACAAATAGGTACCTTCTATCATGTGCTGTTAGTGATTTCCGTTTGGTAATAGTGAAAAGACTATAATGCCCTTGAAAGTTTGATATTTTAGTTTTTTGTAAATTTAAAAATTTCTAAAAAACCTCCTAGGTTTGCTAATTTAACTAAACACTCCAGTATATAAAATTTTTGTAAAATGACAAAAACACCCCCACCACCCGCAGTGCTAGATTCCGGCCACCATCGTCAGAATCTGACTGACAAATTGCGTTACGACACAGACCCGTCGAATCTATGTTGTAATGCGTCGATTTGGCCTTTTCCGGCCAGATTCGTGATCAGATCTACGTCCAGATCTGGCCATCGAGAGTTTTGCGGCCTCGACGGCCAGATCGACGCATTACGACACAGATCCGATGGGTTTGTGTCGTAACGCAATTTTTCGGCTAGATTCCGACGGTGGTGGCCAAAATCTGGCATTGTGGATGGTGGGGGTGTTTTTTTCATTTTACAAAATTTTTATATACTG